GGTATTCCCGGTCACAATACGTCCCCAATACCACTTGTCACGAGAACAGCCTACCAGGTACCGTGTGGGTATTCCCGGTCACAATACGTCCCCAATACCACTTGTCACGAGAACAGCCTACCATGTCCCGTGTGGGTTAAATCGGTCACAATACGTCCCAAATACCACTTGTCACGAGAACAGCCCGCCATGTCCCGTGTGGGTATTCCCGGTCAGAACACGTCCCAAATACCTCCTGTCGTGAGAACAGCCTACCAGGTACCGTGTGGGTATTCCCGGTCACAATACGTCCCCAATACCACTTGTCACGAGAACAGCCTACCATGTCCCGTGTGGGTTAAATCGGTCACAATACGTCCCAAATACCACTTGTCACGAGAACAGCCCGCCATGTCCCGTGTGGGTATTCCCGGTCAGAACACGTCCCAAATACCTCCTGTCGTGAGAACAGCATACCAGGTCCCGTGTGGGTATTCCCAATCACAATCACAGATTGTCAAGTTCCGTCAGAAACGATCCAAAATACCTCCTGTCGTAAGAGAGGCGGTGGGGTAACATAGTGATTGAAGCGTTAAGACGAAGAACAAGGTTCAGATCCCCACATGGGTACAAGGTGTGACTTTTGCTGGAATATTGCTAAAAGAAGTGTAAAACCACTAACACGCTCAATCCTGTCGTAACATCAGACTGCCAGGTCCGCTGTAGGTATTCAGTCAGAAAAAATCCCGAATGCCCCCTGTCGGAAGAACAGGCTGAATGAGAGTATGGTATTCAGGCCCCCCGACTGTGCGAGACGTCATCATTCCGCCACCCTGTGCCACTTAATAATCTCTTACAGGTCGATGTGATATCTGGTAGACTGTTAATTGTAAAACAACAAACCCCGGATTTGCGTTGAATATGATCCTCAGTGCTCATTTCGTGGGTAGCTGAGAGTTGACTCCCAGGCATTCATATCAGCTTTACGGGCGGTCGGGAAGCCTAGTGGTTAAAGCGTTCGCTCATCACGCCGAAGACCCGGGTTCGATTCCCGACATGGGTACAATGTGTGAAGCCCATTTCTGGCGTCCCCCGCTGTGATATTGCTGGAATAGTGCTAAAAGCGGCGTAAAATCAAACTCACTCACTCAAATAAGCTTTATACGCACGCACGCACGCACGCACGCACGCACGCACGCACGCACACACAAAGCTGCCCCTGGTCTATCCCAGGTACGCCTTCATGGAGTCCATCAGCACTAGGGATGCCGCTGAATGACCAGGGGTAATAATCAAGTTAATCCGAGATTAGAACGCACACTGGCAAACGGACGCGACTTGGCACAAGGAAATGACCCACTGGTCCACTCATTATCCCCTCCAAGTAACCTAGTAGTAGCAGACACGCAATCAATTAATCTGATCTGGTTCAGACAAGACAGCGTTTATCGCCAGAACCCCACAGGGCCGACCCTCTAATATTCCGGGATTGGTGTCGGGTGCCCAGGATGTTGGGACCAATCTCATTATAATCAGGTCTAAGTGCTAGCTACTGCTACACAAGGTAGGTCCGTGAAGAATCCTGGTAACAACTGGTCTTCAGCAACATGGTTGATGCAGGTCATCGTACCGAATTACGAAGGTCACTGAATCGTCTGGTTCAGACTCGTTTATATACAGACTGCCGTCACATAGCTGGAATATTACTGTGTGCGATGTTAAACAAATTATGACTGGGCGGCCGTAATCCGTTATATTTGTGCAGAGACCATATAATAGATTTGTGCAGCACGACTATCACCATCAAACTATGCAATTCTGTATGAATAGGTGTTTGGACAAATATTGATTTACACACAATGTCATACAAATTATTGTATTGATGACTTATATTCTTGCACAGTTGTGTTTCAAATACAGACAGAAGAATGAGTGAGTGAGTATGGTTTGACACCGCTTTTAGCAATATTCCAGCAATATCATGGCGGGGGGGACACCAGAAATGGCCTTCTCACATTGTACCCATGTCGGGAATCGAACCCGGCGTTGGTGGTACGAGTGAGTAAGTTTGATTTTACGCCGCTTTTAGCAATATTCCAGCAATTTCATGGCGGGGGACACCAGAAATGGGCTTCACACAATGTCCCCATGTCGGGAATCGAACTGTGTTTTCGGCGTGACTAGCGAAGGCTTTAACCACCAGGCTACCCGACCGCCCCTACAGAAGAATGAAGTGGACTGTGAGACTGAATAAGAACAAAGCAGTTTGGCTCACATCCAACCTGACTGGCATATAAACATTCATTCATATATACCCCACATTTTGTTACAAACAACCCGTGAAGATCCGGGGTAGAATAGGTCTTCAGCAACCCATACTTTTGTAAAAGGCGACTATGCTTGTTGTAAAAGGCGACTATGCTTGCGTAAAAGGCGACTATGCTTGCCGTAAGAGGTGACTAAAGGATGGGTGGTCAGGCTCGCTGACTTGGTTGATGCATGTCATCGTATCCCAATTGCGTGGATCGATGCTCATGATGTCAATCACTGGATTGTCTGGTCTAGACTCGATGATTTACAGACAACCGTCATATAGCTGGAGTATTGCTGAGTGCAGTGTTGAAGAACAAACATTAAACATTCACCCATCCATGTTACTGTTGTTTTACTTGGTCCCGCACTTTTCACCAACAGGCAGAGGCCAAAGAGTGAAGAACAATTCTGTACCATATCAGGTGTGCATGCATGCGTAGCTTCCTTATTTACGAATGTGGGGACAGGGGTGGACCACTCCCCATCTTCCCGGGGCAAAGGGGTTAACTGACCTTTGGAAACTGGACTTATATAGTTATCTCTCTTGCGTAGGGAAGATGACCAGTCCCCTGAGGCACCGCAATTCGCAGTGCAGAGTTGTGTCCCTTCGGCACGCCAGTGACCTACGATCATGGGTTTGAATCCTGGTTCACCTCAATTATGTTTCTAGGTTTGTCAGCACCATACCCATGCATGGGCAGATACAGAGGGGGGGGGGGGGGGGTGGAGGTGCGCACCTCCACACACCCCTTTTTATTTCGAAAATCTTTATTTCTGTATAAATTACCACTAAAGACGATATATAGATCTTAATTGTGCACACACACACACACACACACACACACACACACACACACACACACACACACTTTTCAAAACAGCTGTATCCGCCCATGCCATGCATCTGGGTTTCACCAAAGTGGTAAACATCAGAGACCTGCTTGGGAGCCTCATTCACTGGGGCTTTCCTCCCACGTAAAGCTGACATGCTGTGATATAACTGGAAAACTGTTAAAAGCAGCCTTAAACCCAACTCACTTCCTGTCTGTAAATACACATGGAGACATTTCTACACCTTGAAACTATATTTTCAGCAATAAAAGTATAACAAAGATCTGTAGATGTTAATTTTGGTGAGAACAGGTTTACTTCACAAACTTTATATAGTCTGTTCATTGTTTTCATTCGATACTAAGGACCAATGAATGCCAAGTTTAGTGCTGTCCAATCGCAGCCTACAATAAATCATCTGTCTTATCTACTCATTGAGGTAGACAGACGCCAAGTCAATTACAATTATCCACTCATATGTAATAAAGACCTTCCTCTACCTCAAAGCCAAACAGGTGGTCCAGTCTCTTAAGGCACCGCAATTTGCTGTTCAGAGTTGCGTCCCTTAGATGTGTCAAGATCCTATGATCATGAATTCAAATCCCTGATTACACCTTTGTTCATTAGCACGATGCTCACTACTTTCACCAAAGAGGTAAAAACTAAAACTCACATCTCTTTGGAATTTTCTCCCATGTCAAGCTCTGACAGCGCCTATTCATCTTCCTGAGGCAAGAGAGTTAACTGACTTTAAAAGTCCAGTTTCCACCCTTGCCGAACTAGGCTGGAATTACTTGGCTCAATTGTAGCGCCACCAGTGGCTATTACCAGTTATGTCCCCACTAAGCCTCTCCTATGGACCAATCAGATTCCACCTCTTGTATCACTTGCTTTTGCTTCACACAAAATGGTGGCGCCCAGTCAGGAGGATCTGATCGATAATCAAGATCTATATTGTGATAAAACAGGTCTTACATCGCGAAATACATCAAATCACGTGAGCTCCTTGATTAAAAACATGAAAAGATTTGGAAAATATCTGCTGACAACGAGTTGGCGGTGCACATGCTTTGCAAATCCTGCAATCGATCGAAATCTGCACAACAGTTTACGAACCGGATTTCGATTTCGGTGTGCGATTTTGATTGAACTATGCATAGACTTGTTAGTCCAGCCAAAATGTAACTCCATAATACCAGCCTAGTTCGGCAAGGGTGGAAACTGGACTTTTATAGTCAGTTAACTCTCTTGCCTCGGGAAGATGCCCCCTATTGTAACTGAAACACTTTTCAAAGCAGGGTTCAGCCTACTCACTTATCATAGTAGAGGACATGGCATTCTTGGTCAGGGTTTAGACTGTTATACTCAGAGGCTCTCAAGAGACTTGTAACACATTTTCAGGCAGATGACATATTAACGATCCATCTGTCCATTCCTTGTCGTGGTGTCCCTTCCATGGTGTTTATGAAACTAATAGTTGATATTCTGATCCGCAACATCTCCCACGATACTCACTGCTGCTAATCACGTGACACTGCACATCTTATACAGCTAAAGATATAACATCCTATCTGCACACCCTTGTCTTATATTCTCTGTCAGTAACCAGTTAGTAATCAGGATGTAGACTAAAAATACTTATTGAGAAACCGCCTCTGTGGTCTAGTGGTAGAGCGTCCGCCCGGAGAGCGAAAGGTCCGGGGTTCGATCCCCGGCCGCGTATAACAAAAGATGTTAAAAGATGGTACTTGTTGTTACCCTGTCTGGCGCTCGGCATTAAGGGGCTAAAACAAGGACTGGTCGGCTCGGAGTCAGTATACTGTGTCTGAGTGGGGTATTCATGTTAAACTGTGGCTTGGTATCTCAGTGGGCTAGCATTATAAATTAGCATCAGTCCAGACCAGTACAAGCAGCCACACGTACACACATGCATGTATGTCGCTATATAAGTGCAATAATCTTGGACGTGACGTTAAACCCCATTTCACCTCACCTCACTTATTGAGATGTCACCACACTACACAGAACTGTGTCACATATAGGTATCTGGATCACTTGACGATTAGTTAAACAGTGGCCATGTTGTCCATTTGTGCGTCCTTAGTCACATGATCACTGAATAGACAGGAAATCCAGTATCCATGGTGTCTGCTCCACAGTACAATCTGTCATTTCAACAATGTTGACATCATTTGTCCAACACTGCATTGGCGCTGAAATAAGCTGGTCCGTCAGTTAGCGGTGTCAGGAATCACACAGTGCTTGCACAGGTCATGTGTATGACAACAGATTGATGTCATAACACCCATCCACCTGAAGAAACAAAAAAGGGAGGTAACCCATGTCACAAATTACAAATATATGACCCAAAAACCACCTGCATCAATCTTTTACATATCCTCTATATTTCTGGACCCATCCGCAAGGTTTTTCTCGATCAAAAATTACCTGCCCTTGCTTTTCATTTTACCAACCAAACAAATGCCAAGATAAGGTAAAAGAAATGAGTAAGGGAGGTAACTCATACTGCCTAGAAATCAAACCACTGAGGGATTTCTGAGGGCATTATTTTGCGTGTCAGTTTTTCAACGTTGAATTTCTCGCAAACTCTATCGTAATCCATGGGGCTGGCCACTATGTTACTGATATCGCCAACCCAACATTTAGGCTGGTTTGTAACTCGCATTCTGATTGGTACGTAAGACCTAGTAGCGTAGCCAGTCAAATTTGCTGAAAGAAATCAAGGCCATATAATTTAAGATCCCGAAAACATTGTGGACGGGACCAGGCCTGGCTAGTGTAGGTTTACCGAAATGCGTGCCCTGGAGATATAGAGGATGATCTGATATTATACCTCTTTCTCTCAACATCTGAGGACACCTACATGGAAGGCCACATCAGGTGAACCAGGTGAAATTTGACTGCCCAATTTAAATGAAGGTTGCAACGGTTCTTGACCCAAATTTTGATCTTGGCAACAGAACAGAAATAAACCCTCAATAGTACACATTCTGTTTATACCCCATCACACCGAACTAGTCAATACGTTCGTGAAAATGTCGTCGAACTGGTTCCAACTGTGCATGAACGTAGTGGACGTAGTAGCAACTATTGACAGTCTTTTTACAAATTTCATGGATGGGCTCGAACGGGGAGGGTGCTCGAGAACTTTGAGTCTGCTCAAAATTTTAGCCTGTCCATCCCATTCTGCAATTAGTCGGATTGACAACGTACTTAAAACGAGAAAGACGTATTACAAACGGAATTGACGTACTTTGAACCTACTAGGGATGTGTTACGACGTGGTGCAGTCGGACATAAATTTCAGAACGTGTGGACACGGACCGGGTGGACTGCTCTTTGGAGGCATGATGTGTAAGGCTCGGAGCCCTGAACTTGAATGAAGACTGGCTACAACGCGCTCGGTATCCATAGGAGTCGGGCCAGGATGCAAATAAACATGAACTTCGGATGAGATGAGGACGTCACTGCGAACGAGTTGGTCGGGTTAAGAATTAGTTAGAACTGGCTTGGACGTATTGTGAATGAGGTAGAACAAGGTTGAACTGGTTAAGAACAGGTTGAGAACGGCTACGGACATGCTCGAACTGCTTCGAAACGTTGTCGGGATGAGGAGTACGGGCACTTGTACACGATCTGAACTGGATAGAAAAGTACTGTAGACTGGCTAAGAATGAGATAAGAACAAGATAGACGTATTGAGGACTGCTTGTGAACGAACTAACATCGTATTTTACACCAAATTACACGTTCTACCGTGATCACAGCCCGTTCTATTATTTTGTTTACAACGGGGTAGAACGGGATAGAACTACTTTGGTGTGATGGGTGCATTAGATGCCATGACAGGAAAACAGGATTTACGGCATATCTATGGCAACAGAACAGCATGGCTATCGCTATTGCCATTCAGAACACTCTGATTACATTTGTTTACGAGATACAGAAATCAGATATACCCGGTACTTCACTCACTCGTCCTGAGAACTTAGAAGCTGCAACACTAATTTTTATGGAAGCCTTTTAGGGCCACTTCTTTTTTTCTATTAAAATTATAACTTTAAATTTCAACATAGCATCTTAAAATTTCAACTTATACCACTTGAAATTTCAAGATGCTATGTTGAAATTTCAAAATACTAAGTTGAACTTTCAAGATACATACATCGAAATTTCAAGATAATAATTTGATAATAATTATGGAATCCTTTTAACATGTTTAAGGCCATTTGTTTTTTACTTACTTAAAATTTCAAGATCATTATCAAAAAAATTGAACTTAGTATGTATCTTGAAAATTTCAATTTAGTATCTTGAAATTTCAAGAAAAAGTAAAAAACAAATGGCCTTAAAAGGATTCCATAAATTTTGGTTGATTAGAAGCTTCACTTGATGTGACCTATGGAGGTGTCCTCAGGTCTTCACACAGAGAGCTATTGTATCAGAGTTAAATATCTGATTTTAAAAAAGATTAATCATTAACTATCAAGCATTTTACCATGACATGAAAGCTGAAAACATGTTAGTGTTTAAAAATCGTAGTTTTATAAATACCTCATATCTTCCCAAGTTTACTGTTGTCTGATTGGCTGAAACCACCTCAGCCAAGGCCCACAACTCTTGAAGGTTCGCAGAGAGAGATTCCAGATTCGGCACGCCCTGTAACACAAGTACATCCTGTATGACTAAAATGACACAATGATGAGTCAAAATAGTTAAATCCTTCATTTGCATCAACAAACAACCAACAAGGTCCTGTAGCCATGGTAACAGCCATCAATTTCTACTGCAAATGAAAACATACAAAAAATAGCAAAAAACAGTCAAATTTCATGATCATAAAGCATTTTGCAATATTTACAAATAAAACATATTCACATGCATGGTAATATACTGAAACACATTGATCAGAAATACAGTTCATAACCCAACTCTAAACACTCACTCTGAAGATTACCAATACGAAAGGAAACTGGATTCTCAGATACCACAAGGTATTTTGTTCAATTCTGTAGAATCACAGACATTACAGTTATTCCATGGTAGAATTGACCCATCTTTGAATTCTTTGCCAGTGCAATTGTTTAATTAGAGTACTTAGATTGGCACCAAATTCATGTGGTATTCAGAATTGAAATAAGTTGTAGACCGTGAACATCGTTAGTACTATTAGTGGAAAAAGATCTCCCATTATTTTCACTTCTAACTGAAAATGACTCGTGTTATTTCAAAGACGAGAGCGATTGCCCCGGGGTGAAACACTACTGGTAGACAACACAGGATTAGTGTATGGCTGTGTATGGCCATGAAGTGAGGTGAGGTGAAATGGGGTTTAACGCCGCGTCCAAGATTATTGCACTTATATAGCGACTTACATGCATGTGTGTGTGTGTGTGGCTGCTTGTACTAGTCCGGACTGATGCCGATTTATAGTGCTAGCTCACTGAGATACCATGCCGCAGTTTAACATGAATACCCCACTCCTTGTTTTAGCCCCTTAATGCCGAGCGCCAGACAGGGTAAGAACAAGTACCATCTTTTAAGTCTTTTGGTATGACGCGGCTGGGGATCGAACGCCGGACCTTCCGCTCTCCGGGCGGCCGCCCTACCACTAGACCAGACCACAGAGGTAGTCTGTATGGCCATGAAGAATATTGTGTTCATAGCATTGCTTCAGTTTTCTCAAACTTAACACTGTTGAGTGTGTAATTTAAATGACAGAACACTTCCACAAGTGTGTAAGGTGTGTTGTGCATACTGCTTTGTCAGGGTCTTCTCAGTCTCGTGCATATTGTTTGCTATGTACTTTTTCTATATACCGTATTCGACGTAATAAGAGCCCAGGGCGCTTTCAAATTAGGGGGCTCTTATTAGAATGTTATTTTGGTGAAAAAAACAGAGTTGAAAGACAAATTTCATGGTTAATGCTGACAGCCTGAAATGTTTATGTACGACAGATATATTTTTCTAGAATTTAATTGCCCATAATTAAGGGTGCATATAACACACGAGCATGTATTGTACGTGAAAAAATAGGTCTTGAGAACATTGATCAATCGGAAGGGTGCTCATTGGGATTATATTAGCAAACTACGCCGTGGGCGCTTATTAGCGCGGGGCTCTCATACGTAGAATACGGTACATGTTTATTCTCTGCTACTATGAATGGTCCCATCCCTTTGTACCTACATCCCAATTTGCCTACAGACATTTCAATAATTGTTCTCCGATATTTTTTTCCAAAATGTGGATACAAAGAAGAATTTCAAAAAGGGACTGGTCATTTATTATAGGATCGGACCAGCGGGATTGGTCTTATATCACAGTATAATATTTTCCCGACCCTCCATTTATGTAACATCTTTTCCTGGCACCACCCAAATGCATTTAACACTTTTTCATGACCACACACCTCCATATAACATAGGACCAGACCTAATTTTTTTGTATGAGATCAGAAAAGTCGTACATGGTGACCAGGAAACAACACATATAAAATATGTACTAGTATACTGAACTGCAAAAGAAACATCACTTCATGAAAATACTTCTTGAACGTTTTCCATTGATATATGAATGCATTTTTTGGAGGTATCTCATCTTTGACATTAATCTTATCTAAATTTAATCTTAAGGACCAAAAAATGACACAAATATGGAAACAATGGGTCGCCAAAATAAAGCCCAACAAATGACCATGCTATAAAAGACTTGGGTCCCATTCCGCAAAGCAATCAAAGCGGTAAGACAATCGTAACTCTCATATTTTAACATAGACTTATGACAGTCTTAGTGCTGTGGTGCTTAGTGCTAAGATCGCGTTGTGGAACAGAGCCCTGGTATCGTTGCTGTAATGGCTAGATGGTTCTCATGTGGATATTAAAAACATTGGAAAGCATTCGTGAAATGTGGCCAGCATGCAGTCGTCTTAAGCCTGATTTCTCTGATTCTTCGTATTTCTTGGTATGGCGCTAGTATTGATACAAGAATGCTGGATCCACGTACTGGGGCGTCATTTATCAGGAAAGGCACAAGGAAATGCACGTGAATTTTGATTTTTTTACTTTGTACCACAGACTTTTGTTAAGCTGTGTCTTGGCAATCTATTGTATACATAAATTGTGTCCTTTTTTGTCCAATAACATTAAATTTGAACACAGACTAATGTCAAAAACAAGATACCTCCCAAAAAATTAATGCATTGATACATTTCAATGTGAAACTTTCATTATTTTCATGAAGTGGCGTTTCTTTTGTGGGTCAGTATTTTTGTGTGTGTGTGTGTGGCTGTGTGTGTGGCTGTGTGTAGCTGTGTGTGTGTGTGTGTGTGTGTGTGTGTGTGTGTGGCTGTGTGGCTGTGTGTGTGTGTGTGTGGCTGTGTGTGTAGCTGTGTGTGTGTGTGGCTGTGTGGCTGTGTGTGTGTGTGTGTGTGTGTGTGTGTGGCTCTGTGTGTGTGTGTGGCTGTGTGTGTGGCTGTGTGTAGCTGTGTGTGTGTGTGTGGCTGTGTGGCTCTGTGTGTGTGTGTGTGTGTGTGTGTGTGTGTGTGTGTGTGTGTGTGCTTGTACTAGTCCAGACTGATGCCGATTTATAGTGCTAGCCCACTGAGACACCATGTCGCAGTTTAACACCCCACTCAGACACAGTATACTGACTCCGAGCAGAACAGTCCTACTTTTTTCCCTTAACGCCAAACACCAGGCAGGGTAGCAACAAATACCATCTTTTTATGTCTTTTGGAATGAAATGGCCTGCAATCGAACCCACAACTTTTCGCTCACCGAGCAGATGCTCTACTACTCGACCACGGAGGTGCTCGGGAAAGCAGTAAACAGTCCTGCATCCCTAATATTGTAGGTTCAAATCCTGGTTTGTTTGTTTGTACCTGGGGGCACGGGTGGCCCAGTCGTCTAAGGTGCCACGATTCGCTGTGCAGAGTTATGTCCTCTTGGTGGGCCAGGATCCAATGATCATGAGTTTGGGCACGCCAGAAACCTATGATTGCAGGTTCGAATCCCGGTTCGCCCGAATTATGTTTCTAGGTTTGTCAGCACCATACCCGTGCTCGTGGGTTTCACCGAAGTGGTAAACGTCTGAGACCTGCATCACTTCGGGCTTTACTCCCGCATCAAGCTGACACGCCGTGATGTAACTGGAATACTGTTAAAAGCGGCGTAAAACCCAACTCACTCACTCACTGTTTGTACCTAGGCTTGTCTGCACCATACCCATGCAAGTCTGTTTCACAAATTATATGGTATAGGTCTAAGGCCTGCATCACTTCAGGCTTTCCTCCCACATTAACCAACAGGCTGTGTCAGGTGTATATTTTTAAAGTGACATAAAACACCACTCTCTCACTCAGGCATACAACACACTTACTAATTATCATTTTTTCATAAAGATTTCTAACAAAACAGTTAAAGAGGACTTTTTCAAAAAGGCTGCCATGTCTAAAAATAAAACATTTGTGGGTACTTAAAGACACCATTGCTGTAGGGCTGGGACGGGTAACTCGGGTACCCGGGTCGGGTGGGTCCTGAGTAGGACCCAGGTACCTTAGTAATACCCGGACCCATGGTTAGTCACGTGACATATTGTTTAATGACAAAAACTCACTAGAGCTCAGTGGTTACACTACAAGTCGCTAATGTTCCCTTTTCTTTATGATGATGCACACATTCCTTTTGACTTGTATATGTTTGAGGAAAGATAAATCTTCAGTCAACTTCAGTGTACGCATGATTTGATCGTTTCATAAGAGACCATATATCTGTTATATGGTCTCTGGTTTCATACATGTATCTGAACAGTTTTTACCAGGACTACAGTTAAACTATTCCCAATTAGACATTGTGTCCCCAACTCTTGAGACCTACAGTGGGTACCCGAGTAGGTTCGTTTAGGATCACCCAATTCTCTCATAGCTGTACTACTACAGCGTGTAATATGAAAGAACTGGGGTTCTCTTAGCTTGTTTTATGGAATATATTATCAGGGAACGATTGAATGCTTACGGGTGGAACGAGAGTCAGATCTTTTCTCTGATATGATACCTCTCTGGGTGAAGATCTAAAAATCCTGCGTTAGAAATTGGCACTAGTCCTGTAGTCCTTGCCAAACTGCCCAATAGTTAAGATATCACAAGGACCAGTAGAAATCTAACATTTTTAAGAATTTTACTTTATGTTATCATTATAAGGACTAGTGGACTAAAAATGTTAGTTTCTAGGCTGAAACCCCTCCATAGGAGGTTGCATCAGGTTAACTTCTAATCAGCCAATCAGCATCAGGCTTCTATATTCCCTGTATGAGTGACTGAAGCATTAAGACAGTCACATCCTGTATAATGAACTTAAAAAGACAGTCCCGAAAATTAATAATAATTATATTGTTGTTGATATTTATCTGTCATTTTTGGGGTACATTGCGTCTATAGACAAAAAGGTATATCATTGAACAAATTATTGTGTTCTGTGTGGTATCAATTTGTTAAAATCAAAACTTCCAAATGAGGTAGTGAAGAAAAGAAGATGAATTATTTTAGAAAGCTGATATCTGACTGGCTCACATGCTTCATTTAGCTTGGGTGGTTTTGAAGTCAAAGCTCAGGATTCACCTGGCGTGACTTTCCATGGAGGTTTTGTATGATCTCGTCCAAAGAGGCATCACATCGGAGTTACAGATCTGACATTAATGTGACTGGGAAGAAGCAAGTAACTAGAGCTAGGAATGGTGGCGGTGTAAGCTGCTGTCTACTGACTAAAGCTAGGGATGGTGGATGCACCTGTCTACAAGCCACTAACTAGGTCTGTGAGGGAGGCACTGGGAACTCTTACCCAATCACCCCTCTTCCCTGACGCTGCAGGGGTCAGAGGTCGTCGTGTGGGCTGGAAGTGAACATCATGCAGTGCCCTTGTGATATTTCATCAATGAGTGAATACTGATATCAAATATATTGCATTGTGAGGTGTTTTCCAGAAACCCTGCCTCAGTACATGCAATCTCATTAAAATCAGACCTCAGTTCTCGCTATCGCTAAACAAAGATCTGAGGACATCCCATTACGGGTCACGTCAGAACGACCTTTCTTCCGACCAATCAAAGCGTCGCTTACCAGATCGTGAAAGTGACAGTCGGAATTTGTTTTCTGATCATGCAACCTCGAAAACGTTAACACGGGGTATTCTGTACGACAGTTACGGCCCCTACAACTGATTCCGTCAAAATTATCGTCAATCTCTCGCTTTCTGTTGGGATAAACATTTGAACGGAGGAGGCGTTGCACAGTACGTGGGAAGCACTGCAATACAATCTCAACCATATATTAGACATTCTGGAAGTTTGTTTGTTCAGTTTTCAAAATCTTAATCGAGAACGGTGTCAACATATTTTTCAAGCGTAGTCTGAAATGGAAGTCGCCAGGTTGAAACAAGTGCCGTGAAGCTCGAGAAAGCTGCTTTCTAATTGGCTGATGTCGACTTCTTGTTAGTCATTTCAGTGGTCGGTCAGAGTTCGCGAAAGATCATTCTGACATGACCGGTAATGGGATGCCCTGAGATCTAGCGGCAGCGAAAACTAAGATCTGATTTTAATGAGATTGCGGTACATGTGAACCTAGGAATCTTAAAAAAAATAGCTGAATAACTTTCTTTAAATCTTTCTGTGAAGTGAGGGGCATAATACTTTGCAGTAGGTGGGTCTCACTGAACAGCATGGGTCTTACTTTGCAATATGTTGGTTTCACTTTGGAGTCAAGGGGGAGTGTGGAGTAAGACTTACTGTTAAACCTTGAGTAGGGGAGCTCTTGCAGTAGAGTTGGATGCCTTATTATGCCCGCCACGAAGTGGAAGGGGGATATAGAAATGGGTTCTGTCAGACCGTCACGATTCCGGAGCAGAACTCAAAACCATGAGAGATATCTTAACCAAACTTGGCACATAGATAGGTCGAGTGGTGAACTGTTGCCTTTTGATAGTTTTGGATTTATGAAAAACTTATTTTTCAAGTTTTCATTGTAACTGCTTTGACTTAGACTGAAAATGGTGGTAGTGCTCGTTTCCGGAGGGCTAATGCCTTGCACACAATGGACATGTGTCATATGTATTGGAGAAAACACGCTTACGAGGATTTGGCAGACAGAGCATGCCCTGGGGAGAGGGAAAAAAACCAAGGGGGCAAAGCCTCCGCGGTTTTTCCCGACCCCCAGGGCATGCTCTGTCTACCAAAACCGAGGGAAAGTATTTTTCCATACTTATAAACCGAAAAAAGAAACTTAAAACAACATTTATCAACATTTTTATGTTTCAAACATACTTTCCATGAACGTTAGGAAACGCGTGTAAAATATCTGTTGCTGGCGTACGGATCTTGAAAAGGACATTCTAAAAACCAGTGAGGCTTATCAATACCTCTGTAGCCTTGTGGTACACTCACTGGGCTACAGATATGAACGTTGCGAGTTCGATCCTCGAGAATATAAAGAAAACATTTGTCATTTGATTTTACATTTCATTACATGTTACAATCTGAACGGAAGTCACATTAATAAAATACCCAGGACATTATATAAAATCCCTGGGATATTATAGCAAATATGACTTGAATATCCTATAAAATCCCTGGGATATTATATAAAATCCCAGGGACATTACAACGTCCCTGTTTAGGAGATTTAACTCGACTGGAAAGTAAAACCTCACAATAGGTTTTAATGCCTATAGAAAGAAGTCTCTTACTTAATAGCGATCCCAATGAATAGGTTTATAATGATGGGGAGTGTGCTTGTTTTGTTGTAGGGCATCGTCCCGAGGCAAGAGCGTTAACCGACTTTAAAAGTCCAGTTTCCACCCTTGCCGAAACTAGGCAGTAATTACTGAGCTCGATCGTAGCGCCACCAGTGGCTATTACCAGTTATGTCCCTTCTAAGGCTCTCCTATGGACCAATCAGATTCCACCTCTCGTATCACTTGCGTTTGCTTCACACAAAATGGTGGTGCCGATCTGATCGATAATCAAGATCTATATCGTGAATAAACAGGTCTTACATAGCGAAATGCATCAAATCAAGTGAGCACCTTGATAACAAATATGAAAAGATTTGGACAATATCTGCTGACAACGAGTTGGCGGTGCACATGCTTTGCAAATCCTGCAATCAAACGAAATCTGCACGACAGTTTAGTAACCGGATTTCGATTTCGGGCGCGATTTTGATTGGACTATGCACAGACTTGTTAGTCCAGCCAAAATGTAACTCCATAATACCAGCCTAGGGTATTCGGCAAGGGTGGAAACCAGGGGTCCGGAAACCGTCATATGCGCCGGACATGTCCGATTGGGAATCTCAAATGTCCGTTTTAAAATATTGCTTACCGGACATTTTAAAAATTATTGTCCAGACATTCTTAAATTTTGACCGGACATGATCAACAGTTAGGACTGAGCAGTTTCTGTCTGCAGTTGCAACACAATGAAGATTAACTACACTGACAAGCTTTGTTTGTTTTGATTGCTGTAAATACAGAAACAGAAACAAACGTATTTTTTCCATGTTAATCTAAAATGATATTATTTGTTATTAATTGTCCGGTAAATTAAACAATTTAAATTGAAACAATTCATAATTCATCATATTATGAATACGTAAACTTGTAATGTGTGTGAAAAGTCGTACTAAAATACGCTATTTAAAGGGGGCGTGGCCTAAATGCAAATGTCCGATTGGGATTTTAAATTTTCCGGACGCCTGGTGTAAACTGGACTTTTATAGTCAGTTAACTCCCTTGCCTCGGAAGATGTTAGTAGGGTGGTTTTCCAGTTGTTAGTGCCTGTTTTCAAGTAGGGGGTCTGGCTGTGGAGAAGGGGGGAAGGGGGATACTGCCAGTGAAGCATGGGGTCTGGGTGTTGAGGGTAGATGGATCCGGCAGTGAAATAGGGATATCTAACTTTTCAGTAGGGCATCTCACTGTGGACCTGTAAAACTTCAGTTTGGATCATGAACATTCCATTTTGTAAAAACTTATAACATATACATGTACAGCAAGACAGATCTCCTTCTGACGCTAGTGAAAAAACATTATTTTTTTAATATTATGTGCCTCATATGCTAGCTCTATCACATCTAGGCTGTGCGGGATAAAAATGCACTATTCTACAACTGAAAATAACTGGAGACGAGTCATTCAGTTCAAAGCCAAAAAAGAGCCAAACCCACTGAGATGACTTCCATCCTACTTTAACATGCATGGGGTGATGAGGGTCTTGTCAGGCTATTCAGCCATGACAACCTAACCAAAATACTGACGGTACCTGCAGCTAACCTCTATAGACAGTACATGTATCACAAAAAAACAAAACATGGCTGGTGGTCACAAGAATTACCTCCCTTTGTACCATCACATATCAAGCTCCTTCCCAGCGTGTGACACCTTCGTTACATTCCCGGTAACATCACTGCCATCAGTGTGGGCGCGGTTACAAGAATCTTGAAATTTGCCCTCTAAACCCATATGTAGTAACGTTTATACTTTTGTTTATGTCTTTGGGAAAGCCATCATATTTCATTTTGAAAAGATTTACGACTGACCATGTTTTCCAGGTGAATTTACTTTGTTGTTTTAATAATCAGATTCGTTCGAGATTGCAGACTAACGGAAAATCAACCAACTTCTCCCTTACATTCTTACTATATCAATTAAAGATGATACTTTTAATGAAATAGAAATTCAAATTGACAAACAAAGAAAGTAATTTATCAGCGGTAAGTGTATTCGGCGTCACCACAGTCGTCACTTGTATGTAAACATAACGGTCATTCAGTTGAGAGTTCAACTCCAAGCATGGTTGTGGCCACCTATTCACAGTGGGGAGTTTTGACTGGTGGCAGCGATAGTATAGAGAGCTCCGCGAACGGACTATCGCTGTGAGGAGCTTGCATCACATATCATTCATTATATCCCTTATAATATCAGCAATACATTTTCTTATGACACTCTTTTGCTCAGATCTCTTGTTTGGCGCCATGCATGCAAATAAAACTGTTTATGGAATATTCATTTTTCAAATATATCAAACCAACAATATCAAAACCAACAGCCAAACAGTATTACCAATCCCGAGGCTGCAGCATACCAGTCAATCAGGTACACATGATGTTTTATATGTGATACGATGCCTGATGATAATGATGCATATATTGTCTGAATCACTGATTTCAATATTTTTTAATTATCTGCTCACTCAATCAGTCTATTACAATCTGATACTAATTGATTCTCTGATTTATGATACAAGTCCCAAGAGTTTGGAAATCGAATATATGTTAACCTGCCCTTTAGTAAATAAAAAGTAAAAATCTACTTGTCCTCAATTGAAAACTTATATCCTCCTCTCATCCACCTCATCAAGATCAGATCTTTTCCTTTGATATGACACCTGAGTGAGTGAGTAACATTTTACGCCACTTTCAGCAATATTCCAGCAATATCACGGGTGGGGACACCTGGATAAGTGAGTGAGTGAATAACATTTTACGCCACTTTCAGCAATATTCCAGCAATATCACGGTGGGGGACACCTGGATAAGTGAGTGAGTGAGTAACATTTTACGCCACTTTCAGCAATATTCCAGCAATATCACGGTGGGGGACACCTGGATAAGTGAGTGAGTGAATAACATTTTACGCCACTTTCAGCAATATTCCAGCAATATCACGGTGGGGGACACCTGGATAAGTGAGTGAGTGAGTAACATTTTACGCCACTTTCAGCAATATTCCAGCAATATCACGGCGGGGGACACCTGGATAAGAGGTGAACTTTCTAATCAGCCAATCGATGCTTCTAAATTCTCAGTATGAATGAGCAACACATTTAAGAGCAGCATATTTGATATCTTTATCTCAAAAATGAAGGTAAATGGCTGTTTCAAAATGCAAATGAAAAAGGCTGCACCACCATAATATTGTGGAAAGTCAAAATGGAGTACCTTTAAAGCAATATTTGGGTTTTCTTCCATTAAAATCAAAATTTCTGAATTGAGGTAGAAAAGAAATTAAGTCGAATCCTTTCAGAAATTTGACATCTGGGCTCGAGAACCCACATATCCTTTGTTTAGATTGGGAGGGTCAATGTTCCCTCACAGTTCATGCAGAGAGGTATCCTATCGGACAGAAAGATCTGATTATAATGAGATTGGGCATTTAGAGGACAATATTTTTCATATCAGCTTGAGATTGTGAATTGTGTGCATTTTGACTGTGGGTACGAGTTGTGCAAACAATCAATTAGGTCCAAAGAAATACCAGTGTATTTTATATTGGTCTCAAGGGACTCTTCAACATGCCCACGGATGACTAAAATTCGAAATTCTAACATACGAGTGAGGCAGCATGGTCGTTCAGGATCTATCACAATGTATCTGACCCTGCCCAGTGAGCTCAGTCATGTGACCTACATGCGAATATTAAAGGGCAAGTTCACACGGAAATGAACCTATTTTTCTTGTACTTTTTCCACTTTAAAAGTGTTAACATAGAAGTGTCATAGACAAAAATATAAAAATATCACAATTAATTAACATATTTTTCGCATTAAAACGATTTATATTTTTCACATTTACCAAGTGTTCTATTTCCACAACAAAAACACCATGGCTTATGCCCCTTGCAATATGACGTCATTGGTGCCAATTGATAAACATTATGACGTCATCATGCTTTGTTAGAGCCGCTTCACGTGGTGTAGGTCCAGGTGTGTGATTCTAGCGTCTCAGATGCCAGCCAGCATAGTGTTATGCTGAGTCACCACTGCGCCGGAGTGTGTCGTAGGTCATGTTGTTTTACCGCAAACTGGTACTTGATATCTTTTGCGTTGAGAATAGACAGGGACCCAGTTGAATTGGCACCAATTACGTCATAATCTAAGGGGGATAACTCAGGCCTGTTTAGCTCGAAAAACGAAGGCCTCATAACGGCATATCATTTTCACACTATTGTGAGCTTCCTACGTTCACTGTGAAAAAAATGAGTGTATATTTTCAAACACAGATACTAATTAATTCTAAAATTGCGTTCTGTTTAGAAAAAGAAAGAAAGTGATTTTTGCGTGTACACTTCCCCTTTAAGCGTGGTCTTACCGGAATCTTTCTGTCGCTGGGCTCTGTGGGTTCCTCTGTGAGCCAGGCAGGCAGGGGAGCGCTTCGGGGCATCTAGAACAACAGCAGTGAGTGAGTACGGTTTTACGCCGCTTTTAGCAATATTCCAGCAATATCACGGCGGGGGACACCAGAAATGGGCTTCACACATTGTACCCATGTCGGGAATCGAACCCGGGTCTTCAGCGTGACGAGCGAACGCTTTAACCACGGGGCTACCTGACCGCCCCTTGAACAACAGCAGAAGAAGCAGTAAGTGAGAGAGACGGGCAAACATTGTTTTCATCATTGTGGGGTTCAAACTCATGATCATTCAATCCTGGTGTGCCCAGGGGTGCAACAAGGAAACAGCGTTACCACTATCCCCCGCCATGAGGCACATTAGAAATTTGGGTGTTCACATAGCAGTGAATATAAACTATGAAAAAAAATCCTTTAAAGTTTAAGAAGAGACAGGCACCAGGGTTGCTTTATGTCATCAAAAAATATGACTAAATGTGTACTAACCACACCCAAGAGGCTCTTTCTCTGGAACAAATAACTCAGTCTTGATAAGGCTTAATAAAATAAAAGAATTGGTTATCAGGCAATGTTTTTTGATAATATAGTGCAGGCGGGCCGTGTCTTTTTTTTCTTCTTTTTTTTTTTTTTTTTTTTGGCAGGGGGGCGGGGGGGATGTTCAAACTAGTATGTAACTAAATAAACAGTTGTGTAACCAAATAAAAAGTTGTGCACAATCAATCTGGGAAAGGGCCTCCCTACATAAATGTATTCCTTGATGAGTAAAATACTGGCATACAGTATTTGACTACTGGTGGATTTGGAATATCTAAGGATTTTTAGTTTTTTTAAAAATGGAAATAAAAACGAAACATGCGGCGGACTTTGTGATGAAGCGGGCAGTGCCTGAGAACCAAGATTATTTATTTTTTTAGCCTAAGTATCTCTTAGATTAGCTGACTTCAGTAGTTTCTGACACAATGCACTTCGTAAAATAACATGGATCAAGGGTCAATGCTGTGTGTGTTCAAAATCTAAAAACATGTAGCAAGGGAAGTAACTCTGGAAATTCGAAATTCAAAGTATCACTAAGACATAGTCTGAAAGTTAATTTAAGGTACCGGCGTTTACTACAATATCTGAAAAACTATTGGACCTACTCCAGTCAAAGTTGGTATGAGATTATTAAACAGTCATACATAACTGGATATTACATTTAAAGACAATCGGTGCATGAATAAAAAATCTGTCTATTTAGCTATCACTGTATTTCATCAACAACCAGACCTGTTCGTCACGGGTGGAATGAGCATTCATTGTAACAGCCATCTGCATAATGCTACCCCTGCGTCACAGGGCCATATGACACAGTTGAACCAATCAACTCAACTTGAAAGGTTGCACGGGAATCACGCACGCACGAATAAGGTGTTAGCGTTGAGCGTCTCAAGCAGCCGGTTCTTCAAGACATACATTTATGAAAGCTCTGACAAACCAAGAATCGTGATCAAGTCGAATACTGGATATAAACAGGTCCATAGCACATTTCGGACTCGTAGGTCATGTAAAATAACTTTGTTTTGGGAGAAAAAAACTAGCCACTAATATACTAGGCATATACTGTTGGTTTCATGTTTACTTTGTTTGTTTTTAACACTGTACTTGGCAATATATGTATTCGAGTTATATGGCGGCTACCTGTAAATATTCAAGTCTGGACCAGATAATCCAGTGACTGATACTGAGAACAACGATCAATGCCATCAGTGCATGATGACATTCCATCCCCCAGTCACAGAGTCTGACCACCCTCTTACGACAACCATTATAGACTGCTGGGATCAATGCTAACAAGGAATCCCAACTGGGTTCAACATGTAGTTGGTTGTTGGGTTTGTTGTTTAACGCCGCACTCAGCAATATTCCAACTTTATGACAGCGGTCTGTAAATAATTGAGTCTGGACCAGACAATCCAGTGATTGATATCATGAGCATTGATCCAAGCAATTGGGATCGATGACATGCATCAACAAAGTCAGCGAGCCTGACCACCCATCCCTTAGTTGCCTCTAAGTAAGCACAGTCGCCTTTTACGCAAGCATGGGTTGCTGTAGACCTATTCTACCCCGGGTGTTCACGGGTCGGTTCAGCATGTACTAGTAATTATACTGTGACATATAGTGACATGAAAGGTTGGTGAGTGGCCAGCATCACTGACCGACAGCAGTGACCGGAAACAGTGACCCACCATTGATGTGCGGAACACCTTCAACTCCTCCAGCTTGAAGTCACGCCACACCGGTGACGGCTGCTGCAAGACGAAGCGTAGCGCCGTCAGGTTCACCAGGTCAAACAGAAG